ATATATATATATATATATATATATATAAGCTAATAAGACTGTGTGACACCATATATAATTTTTGAACAACTAACCAAAGGGAATACAGCCAGTCAGTTTGCAGCACTGTACCATCCAGGCTAAAAAATTGACTGTCATTCTTATAATAAATTCATGGCATAAGCTGTGGGGTACATTTTGTGGTATGGTTGGATTGAAACCTGGCTTGAAATCCCGTGCTACACCAAAGGGCTGATCTGAGCCCTACACCAAAAGTCCCATGTGTTGAGAAACACTTAACACTTTGAAAGTAGTCTATATTGAATATTAAGGAGGAAAGTAGAAAATGTTATACAATAGTTCTTTTGATTAGATTTTTTTTTTCCAAAACCCTTTGAATTAATCTGCTACTGAAAAAAGGTAGAAACTGCAAGGTCTAATAAAGAATTAACACTAAACACAACTAAAAACAAAAAGTTATCCAAAGTTAACCCCATTTACTGTTAAAGAAGCAAATTATGGCACAAGAACAAAAACAAAACTATTCAGTTTGCACTTTGGCTATTATGGATTCTACAATAATTATTTTTTTTAGTAAGGACCTTAAATGAAGTTTTTTAGCTGTTGCATAGTGGCTCATAGTCTCGTATATTAATTTACTCTAACCTTGCCTAAAAGAATTTCAGTTTGAGTGTAGGCTAGAAGAGATCCTGATGAATAATCAAATAGAATCGGGTATACACACACCCCATGCTCGGTATTACTGCCACACAAAAATATAGACTAAATAAAAAAAAAAAAGGTCTCAGAGTAATTTACACTAATACTGCCTAAACAAATTTCAAGTGCTGCAGCTATTGAAAATTCCCTTTTGTTCAGTATGCATGAAATCCAGATACTGTATTTCACTTTTACTCCATTTCAGATATACACAAATAAAACAAAGTAAAATCATCAAAATTTACATGCATAAGTAGCAGAAAAATCAGTAGATTCTTGTAGCAGAACATATTTTTTAGTAAGCAAAATTAGTAAATATAACAATTAGCAGTGTTTTAAGTATCTTTGCATTTTCTTTAAATTCTATATATAACAATTATTCTACAGTTAAGAATTTTTTTAAACAAAAGATCTGAAATATAAGTTATTAGTATTCAACTTATTTAAAAATCTGGTCTCTAAAACTCTGAAATAAATGTTATGCAGCAATTGAATGAGTTTTAAAGAACATTCCTTTTTTTATTTTTTAAATCCAAAGAGGCACATGACCTCAGAATTTCCAAAACAACAACATCAGATTCTGAAACAGTGGCACTTTCTGAAATATATGTTTCACATTTTAGAGGATTGCTTTTGTAAGAAGTTTCCTCAAACAAAGGGTTGAAAAGTATCACGCTGAGTTAAGGCTTTTTTCTCTTCCATTACTTGGGGGTGGGGAGAAAGAGGAGGGATGACATCACTACAGTTTGCTACTGACTGAAGTGGAACGTTTTCTTGAAGTCCTTGGAGGTTAGGAGTCAGAGAAGGTGAGGTTAATATTTTCCACCTCTGAAAATCAGAATAAAATTTAAAACTTTACATTTTGTTTAGTTCAACATGGATGTAAGTAAAAAATAAATTGAAAATTTAAGTATTTATTCCTAGTCACATGCCAATTTCAAGCCAAGTAAACTTGTTTCTAATAATTAAGTTGTGAACACTACAGTAACACAGATATCGTTAATGTGGTTGTGATGAGAGAGTCACGAACACTACAGCAACACACAAACAACACTTCATTATTTTCTGTGACTCATTGAAGTGTTCCAGCTAAAGAAGACAAACATTTGTAGGAATATCATAAAGAGTTTCAAAATTAAGAATACAAAATTCAGAAATATTATTTATGTTTATATATTCATTTACCACCTTTACAATATTATGAAAAAAAAGAAGAAATCCACTATTGAATAAAGTGAGGGAAAAAAACCAACTAACATTTGTTTATTGGTTATAATGCCAAATCGACAGTTTCAAGTATTCAAAATAGCTTGTAACAGTTAAGGAATTTTGTGCATTATAGAAACATGTAACAAGAATAAAATACAGCCATATACATGAAAACACTTCTCATATGGCCCTAATTGAAATCCCATCTCAACTTTTCTTCTCTAGGTACCGTACAAAAAAAAAAATACAAATTAGTTCCAACACTCAGAACTATAGAACGTTTTTCAACATTCCATTCCATTTTCAGTTGTTCTTCAAAAACTGTATTGTAAAAACTTAAAATATTCAAACAGAATCAATCTACACAGATTTCTCTTAGACTTAGAATGGTCAAACATGCTGAAATAAATTTCTAATTATAATCATCTTATTTACATACTAATTTTTTGGTATACAACAACTATCTCTGTGAACAACATATTGTTGCGTGAGCAAGGTCACGTGACTAGTATCACGCCACGTACCTCTCGAACCTTCATGAATTATCGGGAGACTACTAGATTGGGGGTAGTCTGGTATGTATAAGATGGTCACAACATGACAACACAATGAGTAATTGAACTGCAGTCAGAGAGTATTG